CACCACTCATCATACACGACTGATCACACACCACTCATCATACACCAGTCTTCATACACCGCTCATACACCAGCTCTGGTGTCAACAGCTCAAGCTCCAGGCAACTCCAGCTCCACGTGCAGATTTCGTGGCAGGTGCAGCACTTTGTGAACCTCCACGTGCAGATTTCGTGGCAGGCGCAGCACTTTGTGAACCTCCATGTGCAGATGTCGTGGTAGGCGCAGCACTTTGTGAACCTCCATGTGCAGATTTTGTGGCAGGCACAGCACTTTGTGCACCTCCATGTGCAGATTTCGTGGCAGGCGCAATACAAAATGCGTTGCGGAGAGGTGGCGAAGGCACGAAATGCGGTATTTTTCAATGGAACCGGTGGCTCCGAAGCTGGCAAGTCAAGGTCTGCGGAACGACGGTTGCGAGACGGTCTCGGGTCATGCTCGGATCATGCTCGGATCCTGCTCGGATCATGCTCGGAATCGTCCGTCCATTGGGATTAGAGGTTTCACTTGTTTCTTGAAGTGAAGATTTCGTGGCAGGTGCAGCACTTTGTGAACCTCCATGTGCAGATTTCGTGGCAGGTGCAGCACTTTGTGAACCTCCATGTGCAGATTTCGTGGCAGGCACAGCACTTTGTGCACCTCCATGTGCAGATTTCGTGGCAGGCGCAATACAAAATGCGTTGCGGAGAGGTGGCGAAGGCACGAAATGCTGTATTTTTCAATGGAACCGGTGGCTCCGAAGCTGGCAAGTCAAGGTCTGCGGAACGACGGTTGCGAGACGGTCTCGGGTCATGCTCGGATCGTTAAGTGTACTTGTTCACTAATGTTCTATGGGGGTACTTCATTCCACGCGTTATTTTGGCTCAAGATTGGACTTTCATTATAATGGTGATTTTTGAGAGGTGCCCCCCTGCGAACGGGGAAGCCTCTTTTCATGTCATGCTTTGCACATTTACACGTTCTACTTTTGCTATGCGGTACCCTCCTACGAACGGAGAAAGCCGCGATGTTCTCTTCAGGTGGTGACATTTTTCATGCCAATTTGTTCAGATGTTGCATGTACATCTTCACTTCGTAGCATCCCGGCCGCGTCAAGCCATGGATTCCGATCTCAAGCAGTGGAGCCTGGTTGCTTTGCTCCGTTTCCTTTGCTTGATCGTTTTCGAACTCGCCCGCCGATTCCAGATTGCTTTACCGACTAGCTCTGAAATTCCCGAGCCGACCGACCGCCCCGCATCCTCACACACGGAGATCCCGTACTGCACTCGGGCATGAGTTTTTTGCAGGGCGCCTTGCATTCGTCGTGAGCCGGGTCACAAGCATCACAAGTGCCTAGAGCATTTGCACATTCGTTGAATCCATTGAACCAGAGAGCATGTCAGATAGTGAATCTTGGGTCTTTATTGAGCCACACCCCAAATCCAAAACCTTGGCAGCACCGATTCGCAACATCGAACCGCGGATTCGATCCCTGTTTCAGGTATCCGATTCATTGCCATCATCCTCTTCGAAAAGACCTCCGCAGCAGGCCTTCCAATCGGTTTCGGACCTAGAAGATTCGACAGCTGCACCGGTGTTTCATCCCCCGGAACCTCGTTCAGCTCCAGTGTCATTGCATGATTTGGGAGACCTCCCCATGTGGTATGACCCCACTCCTGACTCTGCAGGATCCTGGTCTCGACCACGGAGTCTTTGTAGTCCGCCCCAGGATTTAACCCTCTTCCCGTTAACCACGGCCCCAGAGGTTCCTCCGCGTGACTTCGAGAGCTTTGCAAAAGACATGCGCATGACTCAGCCACGATCGAGTCCAGCCATCGTCGTCCCTTCTAAGTTTGCCAAGGCCTCAAGCTCAGCCCATAAACGTGTTCGTCAGCCATCTTCAAATCCCTACTTGATCAAAAAGTGGCACTTTGTGTTGGAACAGTTCGGTCAGGCATCTCAACTCTTTGAAGCTTGCTCCAAATCTCAATTCGGTTATCAACATGCCGACAGAGTCTTGGATAACCTAGCTCCGAGTACCGCCCTTCAGTACTTGACTGCCATTTGCAACTTTTTGAGGATTTGTCAGGACACGCGTTGCAATATAGTCGGGTTGACCGATGGAGGCATGGCGGATTTGCTTTTGGTGATCTCGCTGTCTCGCAGTTCGGATTCATCCGGGATCAGTCGTGCATCATCCATCAAAGCATTGCGATGGCTTCGACGGTCAGCAATAGTGGAAAGTCTTCAATGTGTATATTCACCCATAGTAGACTCTTTCCTAAAGATTAAGCACCCCAAAGATAAACGAGAGGCAGCTCCTCTCCCCCTTTGGGCCTTGATCCAATGGGAACGCCGACTGCTGCAATCGTCCTGCACAGATGTTGAAGTCCTGATTCTGGGTACTTTTCTCTTCATGGCATTCTCAGGTCTCAGGTTTGCTGACCTCCAGAGAATCAACCTTCGGAGCTTAGTGCTGTCCCCCACTGATGTCAGGGGTTTGTGTTGGCGTTCAAAAACCCAAACGCACGGCCATCCTTTCGGCTTGATCACGAGTGGTTTTCTTTCTAAAGGTCCCCGCAATTGGTTGTGGCGGTTCTTGATGGTATTGGATATCACTTTAACCAAACATCAGCCTTCGGACCCTGATTTCCTTTTGCCAGACTGCTCTGACACGGCAGTTAACCCATCATACATCCCCATGTCGTATGCCAAAGCCTTGAACTTTCTTCGTGTGTGGATTCACGCCCCATGGCGGAGTGGCCTGAGTCCACTTCATGATTTAGAACTCAACTATACCATCCATGGCCTAAAAGCCACATTTCTCTCCTGGGGGCCGCAGCTCCACGGCAAGGTATCAGATGATCAACGGCTTCAGCAGGGACATCATCAGGATCCTCGACAATCTCTCCGTTTATACGGACGTGACTCGGTTTGGGGAGCCCTGGCATTTCAGAAACAGGTGGTGTTGGAAGTGCAGCAAGGATTTCGCCCTCAGATCGCTCAGCATCGCGGAGGTCAGGCACCCCTCAAGGAACCCCCGGTATCTCTCGAGTACTTTAAAAAAGACCTTCCGCTTTTCAAGTTCGATTGGTTTCATTTTGACGCTCCGGTCTCGTCCGAACCGTCACCTCCGGTTGACACGGTCTTGAGCTCATCCGAGAGTTCATCAGACTCAGACTCATCGGATTCTTCGGACAGTCCTCGTGCCACGGCCCCCAAGAAGGCCAAAAAGCAACCGCAGTTGCCATCGGTCCCAGATGAATGCGTCATGGGAAAATATCGCAGTGTGATCCATGCTATGGTCATAGCGCCGGACGATGGTGAATGGCGTCCAATGTATGCGGGCGCCCGCTTTCGA